ACATAGTACTGTTCCTCGATGTTGACTCAAATTCATTTCATTTAAATCCACAGAGACAGAAAACAGAATGGTATTTCCTGGGGATTAGGGAAGAGGAAAATAGAGAGTAACTACTTAATGGGTACAGCGTTTCCTTTTGGGGTAATGAACATGTTTTGGAATTTGAGCTGGTGGTTGTACAACACTGTGCATGTACTAAGTGCCACCTAAACTGTTTACTTTAAAATGGTTAATTCTGTTATGTGATTTAACCTCAATAAAAAAATTATGTTACATCTGAAGACAAAACTGACCCCTTTAGAATTATTTCCTTCTTCTTAAAAAAAAAAAAAAAAAAAAAAAAATCGCTACCATGTTCAAATGCTAGTTATATCTTGGAAATCGTTTACACAAAATGTAACTGTAAGTTAAATTATTAGCATATGTGCACAGTAATAATCAATGAAGGTACATTGGTGTCAGTTTAAAACATTGCTATGCCTGTGATCTCAGCACTTTGGGAGGCGGAGGTGGGAGGATCACTTGAGCCCAGGAGTTTGAGACTACCCTGGGCAACACAGCAAATGTTATCTCTATAAAATAATTAAAAATTTAAAAAAAAAAAAAATAGCCAGGTAAGACAGGAGTATGTATCACTTAAACCCAGGAGGCTGAGGCTGAAGTCAACTAAAATAGTGCCACTGCACTCCAGCCTGAGTGACAGAGCATGAGTGACTCTGTTATTCATTCACACATACACACATACAGCATTGCTAAAATGCTTGATAACTGTCAAAAGAATATTGCTCTGACATACATCTGTAAATGGGCAGAGTGATTTTAAATTTGAGGAAAATTCTTACTCCAAGCCTCAATCAGGAAAACATTATAAAGTAAGAAATATCTAAACTAATAAAAAGCAAACAAGAATATTATATAAGAAGCAAACAGGCACAATCCTGACCAAAAATGGATAGAAATAAATATGCTAAAATTAACTGTCTTGGGGATATAGGGCAACATCACTTCAGATTGGTAAAAGACACACTTCAAAAATAGAAGGAATCTACCTTAAGAAACTCTGCAGTAGGAAAAACTCGTTTGTATAAACAAACGCCTGACAAAATTAATCTTTTATCATAACTTCTAAAGCTAGCCCAAATCCAGCCTGGATTCCAGGATTAAACAAAAGAAAAAATCTTGGAGAAGGTTCTAGAGAACAGGCTGACTGAAATCTGTGACTGTTTTGACACAGGCCAATCTGAGAATTTAAATCTCTCTGAACCCAATCCTGAAGAATACCTGAACCCTGAGCACAGACAGGGCCAAAGCTAAACCAGGTCAGAATGCCCTGCCAAGGAACATCCTGATCTGAGGTGTTCACCAAACAGGGATCATTTATCAGTTTATTCTTCACTTTGTTGGATGCTGACCACTTTCAAGATATATACAAGAGTAGACTGATTAGACCAACCAACCTTCATTTTAAGCCCTAAGATATGGAAATGAAAAATACTGCAGCATTCTAAATTATCTATGGCTTAAAGAAAAAAATTTATAAATGAAGAACTTCAAGTATTAGCTGACCCAACTTTAACACCATTGAATATCTTTAGTTATTATAAAAATTTTATAAAGTATTTCAAAGACACAATTTAGTAATTGCTTACATAAAAAATTAGCCATGAAAACAACTATAGCATTATGATAAATCTGTCCTATGTAAATAGTATGAGTTTTTATATTTTACAGTATTCAGATATGGCTAAAAACAAAAATAAGTGTTTATTTTGTGATTCACATAACTAAACACTTTTTTGGTCTTATAAGTAAATATCCGGCAGGACACAAATAATGATAATAGGATGTTAGGGGCTAACACAGTTTACAGGCCAAAATAGGAATCTGTCGACACACAAGATGCTTCAAAGTTTAACTGTGACACACGTGGTAGTGGCAAAGAATCTAATTTAGGTCACAAGACCTGAGTCTGAGCAAGCTCTTCTACCTATTAATTATGTGATCTTTTTGTTGGTTGCGTAGCTACTCTTAGCTTCAGATTCTTCAGATGAAAAAATGAGGACAATATAACTAATACTGCAGCATAATGAGGAAGATTAAATATTTTTATTCATTCAACAAATATGTTCTGAGAAACTGTAAATTTTTATTTTGTATAAGATTACTCTTTCCAATCTTTTCGAATAAATCAAGCATATATTAACTTTTAATATTACCAAGAAAATATAAATCTAATTCTCTAATTCGTAAGCTCTGGTCCCAAAAAGTCTTAGAAGTAAATTTTTATTACTTGAGAAAATCTGAACTGAAGTAATCAGAGTAAGTATTGATATTGAAGATAGGACAGTTGAGGAATCACATCTTAAAACTGTTTTGACACAAAATAAATAAAAACAATTCCCTAATTTTTTTTCCTATTAAACAGAAATAGGGACCCAGACTAAGTCCATAAATTGCTGGGTCAATAACCCATCTCAAATAGAAAACCTTACCATTTAAAAATATTTTTCAGGAAAATGATATTAAATATGAGGTAAATTTGTCCTTGACATACAGAGTGAGATTTTTTTCATAACAGAGCACATGAAACACTTAAAACTTACAACTTATTAAATTACTACTATTGTTCTAACAGGTTCAGGGCCACACATAAATTTAAGTATCATTGTAACACATACTTTACTTGGAATCTGTACTGACCTAACAAAATTTAGTGCAGAGGAATAAATCACAGAGTTGAGCACCTAAAAAACGGTGTCCTTTCTGAAATATTTATTTGCAAAAAAGTCACAACATCAGGAACCACAGAAAGTTGTTCTCCATCATTCAAAAGATCAAAACATCTGCAACATTATTTATGCTATGCATAAAATGAAAGTCGATATTCATTCACTATACTTCAAATCCTAAACAAGATAACTCAAACATCTATGTTTACTCAATTGCTAGTCTATTCAGTATCAATTGTTGAGGAAGAACTAGAAACTAGACTGGTGCTGCTTATTAGACTTCATGTAACCTGAACCTGTTTTTAATTATAACAGACTTGGACCTATTCTAATTAGAAATTTACCCTTAAAAGGGGAAAGAGATATTAACTGGCATCTTTTCATCAAAGTCTTCCTTAAGAACACAATCTATGGCCCTTAGGCCTTGCAGTTGAATGTTAAACAGTGAAAAACAGTGAAAAGCAATCCCTTGGATGCATCCAAGCAATTTTAATATAAATTTCTGCATACCCAGATAGAAAGTAGAATATAAATAACTTGAATCTACCTTTTTCCTCACTTATAAAAAAATGTGGGAGAAATCCTTTAAAAATTAAGTTTAAGGCCGGGCAAGGTAGTTCAGGCTTGTAATCCCAGCACTTTGGGAGGCCGAGGTAGGCAGATCACTTGGGGTCAGGAGTTCCAGACCAGCCTGGCCAATATAGTGAAGCCAAGTCTCTATTAAAAATACAAAAATTGGCCGGGCGCGGTGGCTCAAGCCTGTAATCCCATCACTTTGGGAGGCCGAGGCGGGTGGATCACGAGGTCAAGAGATCGATACCATCCCGGTCAACATGGTGAAACCCCGTCTCTACTAAAAATACAAAAAAATTAGCTGGGCATGGTGGCGCGTGCCTGTAATCCCAGCTACTCAGGAGGCTGAGACAGGAGAATTGCCTGAACCCAGGAGGCGGAGGTTGCGGTGAGCCGAGATCGCGCCATTGCACTCCAGCCTGGGTAACAAGAGGGAAACTCCGTCTCAAAAAAAAAAAAAAAAAAAAAAAGTACAAAAATTAACCAGCTATTCAGGAGACTGAGTCAGGAGAATCGCTTGAACCCGGGAGGTGGAGGCTGCAGTGAGCCGAGACTGTGCCACTGCACTCCAGCTGGGCAACAGAGCAAGACTCTGTCTCAAAACAAAACAAACAAAAAAACGAAAACAAAATCAAATTTCAAACTCAGAGAAAAGACTGGTCTTGAACAATTTCAGGACAAATTACTGAAACACGACGCAATACAGAAGCAGCTCTATGGCTGGAGATGAGCCACCTCTTGTCTCCTTTAGAAGTGCTTCCTGAGGTCCACTTTATGAAGGTTAATGTTGCCACTTATACTGCATGTTAGTAATTCAGAACGCCTAGCTGAAATAAAAGTTCTCTTTAAACATTACAATTTGTCTCCGAGTGAGTGTAAGTGGCTTCGTTTCCAGTTTCGTGGGCTATTTGGGGATGTCAAGAGTTGTACTATTACTGTTGGAAAAGAGCCCTTGTTTCAATCCGCTCTCACCTGGAATGCGGGCGTAACTCATGTTTACAGAACTGATGCTTAGAGATGTTTAGAGAGGACGATCCTTTACCACTCCATCCTTTATCGATAACCACGTTTTGTCTATTTTTGTGTGCATTTAAGTTTTTTGTTTTTGTTTTTCTTTTTTAAAGACACCTGCGCACACACACAATTTCCCCACCGCCGGGAGGGAGAAGACTGCCAGGCTTGATCTCCAGGGCCTTCGGGGAAACGGACGCCGCGAAACGCACTCGGCCCACGAACCGGAGTGCTTCGGCGGCCGCGGGAGGGAGCCGGGCAGAGGCGGCGCCTGTTTACAGACGCCTCCGCCGTCCCCCACCCCCACCGGCGAGGGGTCCAAAACGCAGTTCCCGTGCGCACTCCCCGCCCGGCCGAGGCCCCGTGAGTACCGGAAGAGCCGGGCAGCCCTGCGGCCCCCTCCCTCCCGTCCGAGCCCCCCTCGCCCTCCCCGCGGCCTTCCCACCCCGGCGGGCCCTCCAGGCGGCGCGCGGAGGCCTGAGGCCTAGAGGACGCCGGCCGCCGACCAGCCCCGGAGCAGCCGGCGGGGGCCCTGCGGAGCCTGGGGCCGGCCTGGCGGCCGCGGCCGCGGAGCAGCGGAGGGCGGGCGAGGACGGGCCCTTCCCGACCACAGCTGCCTATTGTTCCCGACGGAGGCCCCGGCCGCCGCAGCCCCGCTCCCCGAGCCGCCGCCCGCCGCTCGCTCACCGCGCTGGTCCGAGCAGCAGCTCCTCTCAGCTCCGAGTCCCCGCGGCCGTCGCCACCGCCGCGGCAGCCGCCGCCGCCGCCGCCGCCACCGTTGACTCTGACTCTGTCCCAGGCCGCCGGGCCACGGCCGCCGCCGCCACCGCCAGCGCCGCCTCCGGCCTCCCACCTGCTGCTGCTGAGGCTGCTCCTGCAGCAGGGGCCATCTTGTTGGTCTGCCTCCTCTTCCTCCTCCTCGTCCTCCGCCGCCCAGTCGCTCGTTGTCCTCGTCCCCTTCCTCTTCCTCAGGCTCCGGACCGCCCCGGAGACTGGGGCGGAGACGAAAGCGAGGATCCTCCCTTAGGAGGCGGGACGGGCGGAGGGGCGGGACGGGCGCGGGGACGGACCTCTGAGTCACCGGCCACCAACGCCCGGGAGGGGGACCGGCGACGCGCCCCGCGGCGACCCGGAGTCCTGCGCCCCGAGCCGAGGAGCGGGTCCCTCCGCCCGGCCCGGCCTCCCGCACCGGCGGCCGCGTGGCGAGAGTACCTTGGGGGTTTGTCGTGGCCCTCGGATCCCGCACTACTTGTACTCTTCGGGCTTTCTCGGCCGTCGTTCCCCAACCCTTGTTTCTTTTTCGCGTCTTGTCCCACCCCCCATTTCTCCTCCCTTACTATCCAGGTTCTGGATCGCATCCGCTTTGTCCTCGTCACCCCTCTCGGGGTCCAGCCTCCTAAGGCTGGGACGCGCCACCCCAAAGCGTTTCTCCTGGGCTGTGTGAACAGTAAGGGCTATTTGCGCACGACAGGAAAAGATGGGACCCGTAGAAAAGCTCCTGAAATCTAACCTTGGAACTCTTTAAAAAAGTTTCTTGTCCCTCGTGGAAAAGGTGCCGTTACGGTTTTGAGAAATGAATTTCAAGACAATTCATTTTAGTCAAACCTTCGCTTTTGAGATGGGGAAGAAATGGAATTATTTTAACACCATACAGTACTAATTTCGAAATAAATCATCTAGAATAGAGGAGAGAGAGAGTCCCCAAACAAACATAATACTCTCTACTCGGCGCCATCACCTTTTTTTTGCTTTAGGACTTGGCCAAGAGAGCCGAGATTGTGTTTTTCTGTCGTTTCTTCACTGTTTACTTCACAGTACCCCGAGAAGCACGTCTGCCTTTAACTTGATGCATTGGAATCGCTATCACAGTGTTTTGGTACTATTTGTAAGAAATATCAAACACCTTCCTAAACTCTTGGCAGAGAAGAATTCTTTTAAATTAACATACTCCTGCTACTGAGATCTCAGCTTCTTTTTAGAAGACCTATTGATGTCTTTCTATTGATTGGAATTTGCTGCCTTTGAACTGGGTTTAATCTGTAATCGTCTTTTCAGCCTACTAATAGTAACCCCAGTCCTACAGAGAGTGAATTTCTAGCTACCACAGGGGGATTTAGGCTAGCATGTGCCAATCTAAAGGCTATCTCTTATAGCCTTTCCCTCCTCAAACCAGGCCTCTGTCCCCTGCTAGGGAAAGCAGATTAATCGGCTCCTCCTGCGTTTCTTCCTCCTCCCTTCTTACTCCTAGGGAACCTTCCACAACAGAAGGTTTTAGCGGCTGTTGCTAGGCAAACATGCCAACTTCCTTGTTTAGGTGAAGCAAGTAACTCAACTTCCATTACAAGCAACCTAGATAATGTAATTTCTGTGAACTATTAATAACTGTACCTCAATCGGTAAGGCTCCTTAAAGGTTCCCTTGTTCAATATGATTTTTAAGTTGTTTATTTTTATTTCATCAGTGTTTCAGTTAAAAAACAGGTTAAAAATGGAGGCACTTTCCCAAATTCATTTTGGTGATATAATTAAACAGAAGCATTTGACAGAAACAGAAGAGCAGCTTCAAAGAAAACACTTGTATTTACAAAAAAAAAAAAAAAAAAAAAAAAAAAAGAAAACTAATCTGTGAGAAGTCCTCTTTTAAACTCCCCAGTCAGACTAGAGGTATAAAATACAGAGGATAAGCCGGGCGTGGTGGCTCAAGCCTGTAATCCCAGCACTTTGGGAGGCCGAGGCGGGTGGATCACGAGGTCGAGAGATCGAGACCATCCCGGTCAACATGGTGAAACCCCGTCTCTACTAAAAATACAAAAAATTAGCTGCGCATGGTGGCGCGTGCCTGTAATCCCAGCTACTCAGGAGGCGGAGGCAGGAGAATTGCCTGAACCCAGGAGGCGGAGGTTGCGGTGAGCCAAGATCGTGCCATTGCACTCCAGCCTGGGTAACAAGAGTGAAACTCTGTCTCAAAAAAAAAAAAAAAAAAAAAAAAAAAATACAGAGGATAAGTCCGGCACTTTGTAATCCAGCACTTTGGGAGACCCAGGCGGGCGGATTACCAGGTCAGGAGATTGAGACCATCCTAACCAATATGGTGAAGCCTCATCTCTACAAAAGTACAAAACAGCTGAGTATTTGAATATTTCAAATTTGAAAATTTCAAATATACATAAAGTAGATAGAATGAGATAATAAAAACCAGAGAGCCCATGCCTGTAATCCCAGCACTTCAGGAGGCCAAGGGGAGCAAATCACCTGAGGTTAGGTGTTTGAGACCAGACTAACATGGAGAAACCCTATCTCTACTATAAATACAAAAAATTAGCCGGCCATGGTGGCATATGCTTGTAGTCCCAGCTACTCAGGAGGCTGGGAGGGAGAATTGCTTGAATCGGGAGGTGGAGGTTGCAGTGAGCCGAGATCACACCACTGCACGCTAGCCTGGGAAACAGAGTGTCATCTCAAAAAAAAAAAAAAAAATTAGACTGGGTGTGGTAGCTCATGCCTGTTAATCCCAGCACTTAGAGAGGCCAAGGTGAAAGGATCACCTGAGGTTGGGAGTTCAAGGTCAGCCTGACCAATATGGAGAAACCCTGTATATGTTAGTCTTTTGTTTCTTAATCAGATAAGAATGACAAGTCATCAAATACATTTTTGCTCTTTGCATGAACCCTAAAAAAAGATTATTGCGTGGCCGGGCGCGATGGCTCACGCCTGTAATCCCAGCACTTTGGGAGGCCGAGGCGGGTGGATCACGAGGTCAAGAGATCGAGACCATCCTGGTCAACATGGTGAAACTCCGTCTCTACTAAAAAAAATAAAAAATAAAAAATAAAAAAGATTATTGCAACTTTTCAGATCATACACAAGTCAGTTAAAATAATGCCTTATGTTTTCAGTACATAATCTAATATGCCTGTACTATATTTTCTTTTTTTTTTTTTTTTTTTTGAGATGGAGTCTCACTGTCACCCAGGCTGGAGTGCAGTGGGCTCAATCTTGGGTCACTGGCACCTCCGCCGCCTGGGTTCAAGCGATTCTTCTGCCTCAGCCTCCTGAGTAGCTGGGACTACAGGCTCGTGCCACCACACCTGGCTAAATTTTTGTATTTTTTTTAGTAGAGACAGGGTTTCACCATGTTAGCCAGATGGTCTTGATCTCCTGACCTCATGATCTGCCTGCCTCCGCCTCCCAGAGTGTTGGGATTACAGACTTACAGGCATGAACCACTGAGTTTGGCCTGTATTACATTGTTTGTCTCTCTGATTTTTTTTTTTTTTTTTTGAGACGGAGTTTCGCTCTTGTTACCCAGGCTGGAGTGCAATGGCGCGATCTCAGCTCACCGCAACCTCCGCCTCCTGGGTTCAGGCAATTCTCCTGCCTCAGCCTCCTGAGTAGCTGGGATTACAGGCACGCACCACCATGCCCAGCCAATTTTTTGTATTTTTTAGTAGAGACGGGGTTTCACCATGTTGACCAGGATGGTCTCGATCTCTTGACCTCGTGATCCACCCGCCTCGGCCTCCCAAAGTGCTGGGATTACAGGCTTGAGCCACCACACCTGGCTGATCGGTTTTTTTTTTTTTTTTTTTTTTTTTTTAAGATGGAATCTCACTCTGCCTCACCCAGGTTGGAGTGTAATGGCATGATCTAGCTCACTGCAGCCTCCACCTCCCAGGTTCAAGCGATTCTCCTGTCTCAGGCTCCTGAGTAGCTGGGACTACGGGCATGTGCCACCTCACCCAGCTACTTTTTGTCTTTTTAGTAGAAAAGGGTTTTCACCACGTTGGCCAGGCTGGTCTCGAACTTCTGACCTCAGGTGATCCACCTGCCCTGACCTCCCAAAGTGCTGGAATTACAAGAATGAGCCACAGCACCAGACCTTTTCTTTCTTTCTTTTTTTTTTTTTTTTGAGACGGAGTTTCGCTCTTGTTACCCAGGCTGGAGTGCAATGGCGCAATCTTGGCTCACTGCAACCTCCGCCTCCCGGGTTCAGGCAATTCTCCTGCCTCAGACTCCTGAGTAGCTGGGGTTACAGGCATGTGCCACCATGCCCAGCTAATTTTTTGTATTTTTAGTAGACATGGGGTTTTACCATGTTGACCAGGATGGTCTCGATCTCTTGACCTCGTGATCCACCCGCCTCGGCCTCTCAAAGTGCTGGGATTACAGGCTTGAGCCACTGCGCCCGGCCTATGCTGCATGACATTTTAACCTATTACATGCTTTAAAATTGTTCTAGAATGTGTAAATGTCAGCCTAAAGCACTAGTTGTCACATCAAGGCTAGAAAAGACCTTAGATACCCACTTATTTCAACAGTTGAAGCTGAGACTAAGAAAGACTGAATAGATCACTTATCTACCCAACTACCTCTTTATAGATAAACACCATGTAATTGAGGAGGGGTTTAGGGAGCAGAGAGGGCTGGGAAAAGAAAAGATTAATGAGGTATGTATCCTTGCCTTAGAGAAATTGAATGACCTAGTAGGAACAATACAGTAAGATATTCATGTAAACTAGAGTATCAAGTACTTTAGTGATTAGTGCATAGAAAGTGCAAAGTCAAGCTGGGCGTGGTGGTTCACACTGGTAATCCTAGCACTTTAAGAGGCCAAAGTGGGTGGATCACCTGAGGATAAGAGTTTGAGACCAGCTTGGCCAATATGGTGAAACCACATCTCTACTAAAAATACAAAAAGTAGCCGGGCATGCTGGCTGGAGCCTATAATCCCAGCTACTCAGGAGCTGAGGCAGGAGAATCACTTGAACCCAGGAGGTGGAGGTTGCAGTGAGCCAACATTGTGCCATTGTACTCCAGCGTAGGCAACAAGAGCAAAATTCCATCTCAACAACAACAATAAAAAAGAAAGAAGGAAAAGAAAGTATAAGTCCTATGAGCGTTAAAATCATTCTAATGTCATGGAACCTATCTTCTGACAGATGGCAATTATGTGGTGTTAGATATGTACCCAGGGGCCTAGAAATCCAATCAACTC